TCTCCTGCCTCACCATCCTCTTTGCCCTCCTGGCACTCTTCCTCATCAAGAAGAATTTTTTCCACCGGCGTCGCACCTTTACCTACCAGTCTGGCTCGGTGAGTGCCGCCTGCCCCACCAGGACCATGTCCCCAGCTCCCCACGTCCCAGCCCGATCCAGGTCACGCTCCATAGCCTCCAGTCTGGATGAAGTCAGACCTCACTTCCACGCAGAGAGGGTGCGGAGCCCACCCTTGCCCACAACGCCTGCCCTGCCAGGACTGCTGCATGGGCAGAGGGGTGCCCGGTGCCTCTAACCTCACCCGCTCCCATCTGCTAGGGGGAAGAGACCATCCTGCAGTTCAACTCGGGGACACTGACCCTGACGCGCCGGCCCAAGCCACAGCCTGAGCCCCTCAGCTACCCCATCCTGGAGTGGGAAGATATCAAGTTTGAGGACATGATCGGAGAGGGCAACTTCGGGCAGGTCATCAGGGCCATGATCAAAAAGGATGGCCTCAAAATGAATGCAGCCATCAAGATGCTGAAAGGTGAGCGTGGAGTGAGGTGGACATGATGGGCTGGGGGATGCAGCTGCATCCTGGGCCATGCTTGGGGGTGAGGAGGGGCAGGAGCCATCAGTGGAGGAGCAGGGGAAGGGCCCTTGTTGTAGGAGTGGGGTGTCCATCCCTTCTTTGGTTCCAGAGTTTGCTTCAGAGAATGACCATCGGGACTTTGCCGGGGAGCTGGAGGTGCTGTGCAAACTGGGCCATCACCCCAACATCATCAACTTGCTGGGTGCCTGCGAGAACAAGGGTGAGGACTGTCCCCCTCTCCCCAGCCCCACGGCCCCTGCCCAGCTGTGTGTTCCTCTTTGCTGGGAGGAGCCCCACGAGCCCAACCTCCTCCTGTCCCCCAGGCTACCTGTACATCGCCATTGAGTATGCTCCCTATGGAAACCTCCTCGACTTCCTCCGCAAAAGCCGAGTCCTGGAGACGGACCCGGCCTTTGCTAAGGAGCACGGCACCGCCTCCACCCTCACCTCCCAGCAGCTCCTCCAGTTTGCTTCAGACGTGGCCAAGGGGATGCAGTACTTGAGTGAGAAGCAGGTACATCCCCAGCAAGACCCCCCAGAGCATCCTTCCCTGGGGGCCTTGGGACTCCCCATCAGGGCACAAGACCCCTGGGACCAGCAGGAGGGAGCATGTGGCTTCTGCTGACTGCTGGCCCCTTTCAGTTCATCCACAGGGACCTGGCAGCCAGGAATATCCTGGTGGGAGAAAACCTGGCCTCCAAGATTGCCGACTTTGGCCTCTCCAGAGGGGAGGAAGTCTACGTGAAGAAGACAATGGTGAGGCAGGAGCAAAGCATCTCCATGGGGCCTGCACCGATGCGGTGGGCAGGACCTCCGCCATCAATAGGAACAACCCACCATGTTGGGACCAGCTGGGTCACCGCTGCCCTCCATCTGCAGGGCATCCCCCATCCCCTGACGGTCGCTCTCTGTTTCCCCAGGGCCGCTTGCCGGTTCGCTGGATGGCCATCGAGTCCCTGAACTACAGTGTGTACACCACCAAGAGCGACGTGTAAGTCCTGCAGGCAGGGATGCTGGGGCAGGGGCATGGCCATAGCTGTGTCCATCCCACTCTGGGGTGGTCAGCGTGGCGGTGCTTTTGCTCTGGGCTCGGCCTGAGCCCTGGCTGCCCCCTCCTTCCTGGGCTTTGCCCCATGCCCCCATGGCCAGGGGCTTCGTTACAGCCTTGGGTCCCGCTCTTTCAGGTGGTCGTTTGGTGTCCTGCTCTGGGAGATCGTCAGCTTGGGTAAGGCTCTTCTTTGTGTGTGTCTCGGGCTGCAGGGGGGACGCCATACTGCGGGATGACATGCGCCGAGCTCTACGAGAAGCTGCCGCAGGGCTACCGCATGGAGAAGCCACGCAACTGCGACGATGAGGTGTAAGTGGGCAGAGAGCCCCGGCTGACAGCAGCACCCACATTCCCCTGGCCCAGCTGCCCAGGGGCGCTCCCGGTAGCACCTCCTGGTTCTCCTCTGCACTGTGTCTGGGGCGTGAGCTGGGGTCCTACACCCCAAACACCCCTCCCAAGCTTTAGTTTCCCACCTGCTTCCCCCCATCTCCCATGAACAGCTTTTCTGCCCCGTCTCCCTCGCGTTCACACTGAGCCACCACCGTCTCTCTGTCCCCAGGTACGAGCTGATGCGGCAGTGCTGGCGCGACCGTCCCTATGAGCGCCCGCCCTTCGCCCAGATCTCCATGCAGCTCATCCGCATGCTCGAGGCCAGGAAGGTGAGTGGCAGTGGTGGAAAGGCTGGGTGCAGGGCGCCTGCGTTGCCCTGGCTCAGTGGGAGGGATGCCCGCCCTGCGCGGAGCTTGTCCAAATGCTGGAGCATCTCTTGGGCTCGGAGGAGGGGACGTCTAGCAGCAGAACCTGTGTGACCCCACCACGCATGGGGGTAACCCCAGCATCACTTTCTGGGTGTGGGGAGCCCCAGCGCCTCCCCGAAGGACACAGCGCCCATGAGCGTGCCAGTGGGGATGGGAGGTACACGGGGACACGGTCACAACCGGCTCCTGACTGGGGTTCCCCCACAGGCCTACGTGAATATGGCCCTGTTCGAGAACTTCACATATGCTGGGATCGATGCCACTGCCGAGGAGGCGTGAGGCTGCACGGGCACCGCGCAGACGGGCAACGCAGACCCCAGCCTGCTGGGACAGTGCTGTGGGGACGAGGGGTTGCCTGTCCCCGCCTGGGGCCGAGCAGCCAAACGCCGGTGCCCCTTCCCGAGAGCACCTTCCCCACTGCAGGACTGCACTGTCCCCTCCCCGGCTGCCCCACAGTGTGTGCTGGCCATGCTGGCATGCCACTGGCCACCAACATGGTCCACAGGAGAGGGGCTCTCCCAGGATCCAGGGTGCTGCTGCCTGTGACCAAGGACACCAGCGCCAAAGCTCTGGGGCGAGAGGGGAAGCAGCGACCCAGCAGCTGCCTTCCCTGCGGCTCTCAGTGTGCTCTGGACCTGAAGTGGTGCCAGCGGGGCTATGAGCATTGCTGCTGGCGTGGGACAGGGCCACCCCAGCCAGTGCCAAGGGACGAGGGACAGCGTCGGCTGCGCACAGCCTCCAGCTCGGCCGTAACTCTTCAGAGGTGCCAGCTCTGCCTTATGGACAATAAATGTAGTGCAACAGGTAGCCAGGCCCAGAGGAGGGGAGGTGGGCTCGCAGCTCTGCCGCACTGGCAGCACCGGGGAACAGCATGCGGGGCCCAGCTGGTCTGCTGCCGCGGTGGGCACGCCTCAGGATCCTGCCCCTGTTTGGGTCCTCTGACCCAGGGATGTCCCAGCGCCCCTAGACAAGCCCCGGGTCTCATCACGCCATGGGGCTGGGTTTTCTTATTGTCCAGCTGGGATCTCCCTCCTTGTAGTTTAAGACTTTGTCCTGCCCCCAGGGACATGGAGAACAGACCATGTCCTTCCTCTGCGCTGCTGCCTCTCGCGTGCTTGAAAACTGTTCCTGCAGCTTCCCCTCAGCTGGCCGCTCCTCATGGGGATGGCCCCGCTCCTCCCACCAGTCCCCGCAGGGCTCTGGGGCTCCACACTCTTCCCACCCCGGCCAGCTGGCGCTGAGCCGAGCCGTCGGGTATCTTCCCGCATCTTGCAAAGGGACCACTGTGTTTGACCCTCTCGAACGCGTGCTGCTGGGGCAATTCCCGCATGTGCTGGTCCCTCGAGGTTTGCCTGAGCTCTGCGCTGACCCCCCTGTGGGAGCTCCTGCCCCAGCTGCAGCCCCTCGTCTGCACTGCTGCCATTTGTTATGTTGACAGTGGGTGGGCTTCAGCTCTGCTGGCTTCAGCTTGCTAAGCCCCAGGCACGCCATCCAGCTGCCCATCCAGCTGGCTGCTGTGCCCTGTGGGAAGCAAGGGCTGCTCCTCCAGAGCCCAGTACCCCAGCCCAAGGCAGAGATATTTGCATTTGCCCTTCTGGGCAAGAGTCTCTTTTCCCCACAAGGTGTTTCAACCCTGGCAACACCATTTTGGTTTCCCATTCTGGCCTCCTGGTGCTCTTTGGTGTCAACTGCAGCCCTTTGCAAGCAGCCTCTCTGCCCCATCACTGAGGTCCCCAGTGAAACGGCGATGGGGACTGGCCCTCACAGGCAGCCTGACGTGTGCCACCACCTCTGCACCTCCACCGCCAGCTGGGAACAGTGTCTGAGGCAGCATCATCAGCCCCGCTCAGACCAAAGGCTTTCTGCTTTTTGCCTCCATGATGGCAAAGCCCAGTAGCCGGATGGAGAAGGAAGTGGGACTGTGTTGACAACATTTGACTGTGACAAATCGGTGCTGGCTGTTCCCATCTCCCCTGATGTCCCCAGTGCTGTCTCCGGCTGCTGCGGGGCAAGGAGACGCCAGCCCGCCCTTGGCACAGGGGGGATGCGTGTGCGAGTGGCTCCTCATGCCCCGGCTGGTGCTCCCCGGGCTGCACCGCGGTGCTGTGCCCTGGCAGAGCAGGACACCCCTCCGGCCACCCGTGCCGAGCAGCAGTGGTGGACTGACACAAGACTGAGCATGCCCACAAGACCCCACCACGAGAGCCCTGCTCCTGCACCAGCTCCACCAGCATCTGTGCGGGCCCTGCCGATTCCCCCTATGCCCACAGCTCTCCTCCCTGCCCACCCACGGGGATGATGCTGCTGGGCCGTGCAGAGCAGACCAGGGCACAGCAGTGCCAGGCGGCACAGGGCGGGATGGAGCAAGAGCAGCCGCCCTGTGTCCCCATGTGCCTGCAGCCCCCGGCGCCCTGCCCTGCCCCGCACAGGGGCCTCCCTGGTTTCTCGGGGGTTGTTTTTCTTCCTACCCCAGCCTCCCGGCATGCCGGTAGCCACAAGGGCAGGACCTGCGGCC